ACGTGTTGTATAAATTAGCGTCTTCCTGACTCTGTTCGGCCTACTTACAGTCCGAATCGGTCTTCGTGACGTCACTGTCGGATGGCCTTCATATTTCGACGGTAACGGTTTTACTCGTTTTAGACCAAAAAGACCGTAATTTGAAACAACGGTTTCTACAAAAAAGGTAACTCAGTAAATTTTTAGGAGTTGGCGCAGTGCTACCAACGCACGGGGACAGTAACTCAGTTCCGTTGCTGGAAAGGAGTTGATTAAACAAGACTTGTTTGGACAAAGTGGAAAACATTACTCATAAAAAATGTTGATGACCTTTTTTTTAGATGTTAAAATTCCAGTCTCGAGTCTAGGAAAGCTTTAATCCGCTTTAATTAATGACTTATAACTCATTAGGGCAAAATGGCAACGACTGAAGAGCGCAACTCAACACAGTGTTACTCAGGCCAATACAAATCTACAAAACGCCCATCAAAGTAAATGTTTTAAAAAATCAGACGAGTTGGGTAAATTTGACTAAGGCAAACACAGCCACAGAGAACTATATTTATCTACTCGTTTTTCGAAGTCGTAAAACTATGAAAATGATTAGCAATTTTTAAACTATCCAGCAGCAAAGCGATAACCCGATTCTCCCTTTGCGACTGTAGAAGGAAATCGTAAAAATGTACAGATTTTTACTTTTGCCAAAAACTTATTGCTACCAACTGCGCCAATTGTACTGTTACTCGAAACGTTAAGAAAATCAACTAAATTGGGGCTTAAAACTATTCAAATCTTAGCAAAAACGCTACGCATCTTTAGCTACTAATGTTTACAAAAAGGCTGAATTATTTATTATCAGTGATTTTATTATCATTATCAGTTAATATACTTAGTGTTTTTGTCATAATTTAAACAGTTTTATATTCTTAGTTCTTGTTCGAAATGTTAAGTTACAAGTTTTTCTTTTCAGTCTACAGTACACTTGGCGCAGTCTGTAGGATTTGTTGGTGATCATCAAAATATGTTCCTTTCTGCGATTTGATTTCACAAAATTATTACACCCAGCGTCAAAGGAAGGACTTATTATTTATTGTTTTGTAGACTTAAAAGTTTTTGTAGGATTCTATTTTTGCTGGTCTGTTTAACTTAGTATTGTTGACCCGTTTCTTAATATGTGTTTTTGTAACAGTAACAATGTATGTATGAAGATTTTAGTGTGCTTTTTGGATGTTAACTAATTTTGAAAAATACTGTTACATCGAGCGCAAAACGGTAGTTTTTTTTTGTTTTAAAACCCAACTCGAGTCGCTCACTAAAGGCAATATTCCGGAAAAGTGCGCAAAACCATATCTTCCGTTGGAACACTGAATGAGAAAGAAATTATAATTATTTTAAAAAAATCTAAAACAGCAAGGACGTTGGCCAAATCATGATTTTTTGCGCACAAAAATTCCGAAACATAGCTGGCAAAACGAGAAAAAAAACGTTATTAGTACCGATAAAAGGCTAATTGTATACTAGATAAAAATAACTCATATGAACAAAATTTGTATAGTCGCGTTTTTCTGGGCAAACAAATTCAGTACATAAATGATTATACAAAATCCCTACTTATTACACCTTATTGTAGCTAATCAAATAATTTATACTTTTGGTCTGAATTCTACAGGCAGACTTTTTTAAATAAGAATTTGAAACAAACTACTCTCTAAAAACGAAAAAGAAAAGAAAAATTCTCAACAATAAATCTAATTTTCACTCGAAGCTCTGGTGATATTTTGCTCAAATTTGAATCCTTCATAGTTTATCTACTGAATATATTTTCCAAATTCAAGCCATTCCTTAAGTAATTTAACTATAGAATGTTTAGATCAAATACCTGTTTCGGTTGCGTCTAGGCAGTGATTTTTGCTCGGACATTGGCGAAATATCAGACGATGTACTGGACTGCACTGTGCCATGGTAGACGAAAGCTAAAATCCAGTTTTCCAACACTTAAAGCCAATCTTTGAGCGTCTTTAACAATTTACCTTGGGTCTTTTGCTTCAAGTCAAGTTGATTGGAAGACTCAGTGCGGCTGGAAGTGAGAGCCTCTTGGTCGGATTCGCTCTCATCGCTGTCGATGTCTTTTCTATTGGCCCTTCTGCGGCCGTGGCCTTTTGTACTTTGGAATTTTTGCTAAAGAAAATTTGAAAACCATTAAATAATTCCGCACCAAACACTAGATTCACTCTAAACGATCACAAGTACTGAAGTCAAACCACATTGCAGTTGATGAATGCTCTGGTTAAAATCAGCTAGTGCTTATGCACTTTTGTTTGAACGTTAATTTGAATCAGTGCATTCTAGTCGAACATGTTTTCAAGCCATCGCAATTACAACTTTACATATCGTATACATACTATGTTGTAATAGGGTGATTCCAATCGCTTTTTGAATGATTTCTAGACAAGAAGAAAGTGTAAACAGTACCAGCAGACTCAAAGTTTAGCAAAGTTAGGTGACCAAACCCCAACAGCTTGTTCTAGATGCAAGGAGGTTATTAAATTTATTAAATTGCCTGAACCAGCTATTGAAGTGCTAGACACTGCGAAGTGTCTAAAGGAGTTGGTGTTCTAATGAGATATAAAAGTACATCAGCCAGAAATTTATGGATTATTTAGCAGCCAACTGATGAGTGTAGAAAGGCAATACTTACAATATTATAGTAAGGAGAGTTTCGTTGTATGGAGCTGGAAGGTGGTGGCGAGGCGCACCCTTCAGTCACTGGGTGTTCGTGGTACATAAAACTATGAAGCATGGTGTTCTGAGCCAGAGTGCTCGGCTCCGACAATTGAAACGTTGCATACGGTGATATGTCTTCTGAGGTTTCTGATGCCCAGAAAATGTTATCAGTTAAAGCAGTTTCTAATAAGTAAGTTCAAAACAATTTTGTTTGGCTTTATTTAAATACATAAAATTTGGGAAATCTTCAAAGGGCCTCTTTGCTAACTAGACCTGACAACTGTTGATTTTTTATTTTTGGCCACATTGCAATGCTGCTTCGAGCTAGAAATAATTTGAGGATTAGGAATCAACGTGTTGTTTAAATTAGACGCGGGTTTGGATAATGTACATGAATTTGGATTGAGTGGGTTATTCTAGTGTTAGATTCGGTAGATTAATTCAAAGCTTTTAAATATTAAACAAAACCTTTTTTCTCTTCTTTTTTATAATCAGCTTGATTAGTGATGCCAATATTTATCCCCGGAAGACGAAGGTTTTCTATGCCCACGTTAAGTTCAAGGGTTTTTTCTTTGACGCCTTTTAAAAACAGCAACATTTTTGAAAGATTCCCGCAGGACCTCTCTACTTACCAGACCTGACACAGTGGATTTTTAATTTTGGTCATATTGTGATGCGAGTTCGAGGTGATTTAAGATAGGTCTGGGTAGCTCAATGAATTTTTAGGAGTTGGCGCAGTGCTACGCAAATGGCTTGGAGCGCCAACTCAACGCACTGGCACAGTAACTCAGTTCCGTTGCTGGGAAAATGTTGATGACTTTTTTACTTGTTTTCGCTTTATTCATCGGTTTGCAGGGAACTTTAGAAAACCCTTTTTGGCTTTCAATTTGACACAAAAACCAAATAAATTTACTCAGTTTTTCACCGAAAGTAATTAAGATTATCTTGAAAAATGACAAAATTAATTTAAAAAATTCGCCCCCTTATCGCTCTGAAGATTTCTACAGCTTCTTTAAAGTTTCAGTCTTTCCAGTTTTGGCAAAGTTTTTTTCTGACCAGTCTTTTTCTTAGTTTTCCTTAAAAATACTGACAATCGTCAGGTATTTTTCACGAAAAATGGTGAAATAAAATTCATTCATCACACGATCAGAAGCAGCGAAAGTTTATAATAAATTATTTGGAAAACTCGTCACATCCATTCCTCTGATGACTGTGGAGGTTGGTAAAAAAATGTGGTGTTTTAGTTTGGCCTGATCTTTTTTTGCTTTCCACTCATAAACGCTTTATTTTGTAAAGTTTCACTTAAAAATACTGACGATCTGCAGGTCTTTTACGCGAAAAATTACACGATAAATCTATAGCTTAGTAGGAAGTTTACAAAAACTTTTCAACGTCGAATTCGGGACAAAAACGAAAATAAATTTATCCGGTTTCTTTCCGAAAATCAATAAAATTATTTCAAAACCGATCACGAAAGTTTTTAACCGAAAAATGCAAAAGACGTTATTTTGTGATAATTTTCTTCTTTTTTGGCAATAATGGGGCCTTTTGATCCAAAAATGACAAAATTAATTTTGCTAGAAAATTATCCTCATTTATCGGTTTGCAGCGAACTTTAGAAAACCCTTTTCAGCTTCGAATTTGGCACAAAAACTTAGAGAGACAAAGACTTAAAAAATTCTCTTACGGTAATTACGACGAAAAATTATAAAATACACTTTAATAACAATTTTAATAAAACTCGCCTCCTTCGTCGCTTTGTTACAAGTTTTGAAATCCTTTTCCAGCTGCGAATTTGAGACAGAAATTAAATTATTTTTATCAAACAAAGAACGAAATGAGCGAAAGTTTATAATAAACTATTTGGAAAACGTGTCACCCCCATGCCCCTGGAGGCTGTAAAGTTTGTTAAAAAACTGTCATTTTTTAGTTTTTCGAAAAATAAAAAATACATTTTCTTCCGTTTTTTCTCAAAAATAATTAATATTTTCGCAAAAAGCGATCACAAAACTGTTATTTTTGAATCAAAACTGCAAAAACCCGTTATTTTCTGATGCTTTTCTTTTTTGCTTATAATTATGAGGTCGTTTTAGCAAAAAATTACAAAACTAGTTTTGTTAGAAAATTCGCCTCATTCATCGCTTTGCAAGGAATTTTATAAAGCTCTTTTCAGCTTCGAATTTGGCACAAATCAAAATTATTTTCCGTTTTTTGCCGAAAGTAATTAAGATTATCTTGAAAAAACAACCAGAGCAAAAGTTTTCAAGAAATGATTTAGAAAATTCGCCGCCCTCATCGCTCTGAAGAGTATTCAAGTTTCTTAAAAATTTCAGGTGATTCCAGTTTCAGCAAAGTTTCTATTAAGCAATTCGTTCTACGCAAAAAACATATTATTTTTACTTAAAATACAGACAATCTTCCGGTATTTTCTGTGGAAATTATAAAATAAATTTTATTGGATAACTCGGCTTCTGAACAGCTTTGTAATTTTTTTTGGAATCTTTCGCAGTTTCGAACTTTGGACAAAATCCTAATATTTTTTTATGGATTTTTTCCCAAAAGTATTTCCCCAAACAGAACAAGTGAAAGTTTAGAATCAATTATTCGAAAAACTCGTCACTTCTGTAGCTGTGAATAATTTGGTTTATTTAAATTCCGTTTTTTCCACTTTTAGGTCAATATTTCTAAACAAAACTCTCTCTAAACAGATCAACGCGTTTTCCCTAACGTTTCACTGTAAAATACTGGCAAACTTGCTTTATGCAAAAAAGTTAAAAGACGGATTTTACAAGAAAAGTCGTCGTCTTTACAGTTTGGTCTTCTTTATCGTCTTTTTCTAATAACCATTTTACCTTTGAATTTGGGATAAAATCGAAACAATCTCATCTTCCAATGTAGGTTTTCTCAATAAAAAAAACGACCAGATAATGCAAAAGCATATAATCAATATTTGGAAAACTCGTCACCTCATCGCTCTGAAATGTTTTTAAATTTTCCCAAAATTTCCATGATTTTCCCGTTTTAAACCAAATACTTTCAAGCAATCGTATGCACAAAAGCAATATGTTGATGGCTTTTTCGTTAGATGTTAAAATTACGTCATTCGCCATGAGTTATAACTCATTAATCAATGAGTTGAAACTCATTAACTCAAAGAGTGGCAACTCAACAGTGTTACCCAGGACTAATTTAAGACTTATAAATTAATGTGTTCTTTAAAATAGACGTGAATTTGGATAATTTACATGAATTTGGATTGAGTGGTTTATTCTACTGTTAGATTTGGTAGATTAATTTAAAGCTTTTAAATATTAAACAAAATCTTATTTTTTATAATCAGCTTGATTAGTGATGCATCTCATCATTTATCTCCGGGAAACAAAGGTTTTATATGCTCTCGTTAAGTTCAAGGAAAGTTTCTTTAGCGCCTTTTAGAGACAGCAACATTTTTGAAAAATTCCCAATGGGCCTGTCTGCTTACCAGACCTGACAACAGTTGATTTTTATTTTTGGTCAGTGGTCTTTTTTCTCATTTAACTTGATTAGTGTTGCCAACATTTGTCACCATAAAACAAACATTTTCTATGTGTTAAGATGGGAAATTTCATACAACTTACCAGGGATTTTTTCTCCGGCCTGCAAGGCGACCTTATGAATGGTGGCATAATATCTTTCTCTTTGCACTTCCGCATTTTGTTGATTGTCTAATTGTTCCCTGTGCGAGTGTTTGTAATCTGCAACGTTTTTACAATTTTTACTTCTACTTGATTTCACAGTGTGTTATTAGAGTACTTACGTCTGCGAATAAGCAAAGGAATACTTAACAGCACTACCGTGCCAAGAATGGTGCTTATAACAGATATCAAAATAAATTTAATGCTGGCGTAAAACGGCTCGCCATCATTACCCTGTGTAATTAGATCCGGTGGTGGAACATCTGGAAATCCACAAAAAAATCAGTTTCTGCCAATCGGTATCTAAACACCTAAAAAGGTCGATTACCTCCATTTTTAGTCAAAGTGGCAAAACTGAACTCCTCATTGCTGAAACCTGCCATATTGTGCGCCTCTAATTTCACCACGTACTTCGTTGCTGATGTTAAGCCAGTAATCGACGTTTTTCTTTGCGGTTTCAACGCATTTGATACTAAAAAAAAACCGTGAAACAAAAAAACCAATCTGCAAAACCGACCGATTGAACCTACCTAAAGTCCATTGACTCTCCAATGCCTTTCTATATTGCAAAACAAAATACAAGATGGGACATCCGTTGTCTGGCCAAACGTGCAACCGAAGTGAAACACTCGTGGAGTTTGGAGCGATAAAAGAAGCTGCTTGAGGCACACCTGGAGGATGGCCCTGCGTCCGAGCTTGCAAAGGATGGCTAGCGGGACTGGAACCTATTTTGTTGTGAGCAGTGAGGTAGAGGTGATATGTGGAACCACACGAAAGACCCTAAACAACTCTAAAGTTGAGTACTTTGAGGAAATTTATTAGCGAGGGTGGTTACCTACTTTTAACTCAAAGCTGGTGGCGTGTCTCGATAAGTAGACTTCATCTAGGTTTCCATGCTCTTTTCTGAAGAATGTTAATAATATTTTGATGAAGCTCTACTGAGGGAGTTGCACATTCAAAATTGGAAATATGCAGGTATATTTACCTGTAATTCAAAGTGAATCCACTGATAGCGGCGCCTCCAGTTTTGCCAGACTTCCAATGCAATAAAACGCTGGAGCTGGTGGCTGACGTAACATACAGCAACGGTGCCGATGGCGGCACTTGGACTACCAAGTGGTAAGAAATTCTGTTAAGAGAGAACCGCAGTGAATTTGACGATTTTTTTTAAATTGAGCTTTGAAATTTCACCTGTCGGTTCCATGGCCATTATCCACTTGGCAGGAGTAGTTTCCAGCGTCGCTCAATTGCAAGTTGGAAAGAATCAGCTCACCAGTATCGAGAAGTTGCTGATTATGACTGGCTCCACCCTGTGAACAATTAAGCTGTGCATTTGGGGCTAATTCAAATTCCCTTCGGCTACAAACTTTCAGAATTTGTTCACTCTTAAGCCACTCTCGTCTAGGCGATCCAACTGATTCGCAGTTTAAAGTCACCGAAGTCCTCCAGGGTCTCACCACGTTCCCGCCGAACGAAATTATCCTCGCTGGAACTGAAATTCAGCAGCCAATAAACATCCGAAGAACTCAACAAAGATTTTCCTCACTCACTTCTGCCTGTTACAAGCTGATTGACCACTTTCGAGCTCTGGCCTTCGCCGATTCTGGTCGAGGCACTCACCCAGAACTGGTATTCCATGTGAGGCTGGATGTTTTTCACTTCAAAAGCTGTGGTGTGGCTTGAAATTATTTGCTTGCCGTTGTCGATTTCCTGCCGCCCGTCTGTACTTCTTCTGCTTTAAATGCACAACATTTTATACGGTGTGAGATTGAAGAAAATGACTAGATGTCTACCCTGATTCTTTTCATGTGGGTGCTGAAGAATATTTTGATTTAATGGTAAGAGCTTTAGAATTTGGAACTCGTAAGCAGGATGCTTACTGCTTCTGAGCACGGGTTTATGCCGTTCATCTAAATCTAAACCTGTTGATTTAGTTCCCGATTGAACATTTTCAGTAACAGCAGTTTCCAGGCTCTAACAACTAGTCCTAGATATCCAGATTATAGAGCGATTGTTTCTCCAAATATTTAGGAATCACTGTTGACTGAGGAAGTGTGCACTGGTTCTCATTACAATTTATACATAATATCTGTTCACATCGACGACATATGAGCAACGATATCGAACAAGTCGATGTTAAAACAAAGAGCATTCGAAATATATAAAACAATCGCCTATATCACATGTAGACCGAGCATCCACGGAAGAACTACTGAGACTGAGACGAGCCGCAAAACACTCAAAGCTGCAAAATGAAGTGAGCATCCGATAATTTTTGTTGCGAATAATCGTACACACTATGGGAGGGTTAATATTCACATCTTGCAGGGCACAAATGTGTGAAGCCGTAGCATATAAACTGAGAAATTGCCTTTGTTCCACAACAAAAGAGTGAAAATGGTCATCAATGTCGCAAAAAAGGACAGTTCAGAAAGCAGCAGAAAACATATTTTGCAGTTTGGTGGACTTAAACACCGACTTCCTGCACTTCCGCACAAAAGAAATATTTTGCATCCTTTGATTCACCATCCATCGAGTTAAGGAACATTTTGCGTTCAAACGTTTGCGGTTTTAATTTAAGTTACATAGAAAACAGTGTTGGCTACTCCGATATTTTCTATATAACTCAAATTAAAGTTTCATACTTGAAGTTTTTAGTCCTTACCTGTATAAACTATACTTAGTAATAATGCCGTTTGGTTCAAGAGGTGGCAACCAAGACACTCTGAGAGACTGAGGAGTTGCCACTGCAACTTTAATATCAGCTGGAACTCCTGGAACTAAAATTCCCCAAAAACAAATTACTGATGAATTATGTGCATTTTGGCTAAAAACACCCACCATCTTCTTCCGTTTGGCAATAGTGGGGCGTGGATAGGACTCCGTCTCCTACTTTGGTGAACGCCAACACCTGAAGGCTGTAATTTGTGAATTTCCTGAGACCTGTGATCACAGTGATCAGAGCGGTGGTTTTTCGAGTTTCCATAACATCATTAGCTGGAATAAAAAACCGTTACAATCCAGGGTGCTTTAAATAAAGCGTCCCTTTTTGTTAACTTGCTGGTCTTGTCAATGGAAGCTCAGGTTGGGAAAATAAATTTGCGTACTGACTTTGTCAACCCTTTTCTTACCTCGGGAGCTTTCATCTAAAACTGGCTCATATGTAAGCTTGTAGCCCTGTATATTCCCATTGCAATCCTCATTGGGCGGAGGTTGCCAACTCACTTGGACACTCTGTGAGGTAGGCGAGGTACAGCGGATGTCCATAGGAGGACTACTCGGGACTAACAGTACTAAATTAACCACTTCTGTCCTCAAGGTGAAAAAAACCAGTAATTACCATCCTCCAAAGTTTCGGTGGTCACTGGTTCGCTTAGAGGCCCAGACCCAACTTCGTTGTACGCTTGAACCACTATAGAATATCTCGTATACTTCTTGAGATCGCTGAGCAATATTTCGCCTCCCTCCTCCCCATCTCCTGAAACGGAGGTGAAATTGTACGAGCCCATAAACGGGGCGCGATACCCCACGTTGTATCCCTGCAAAGAGTCAAGTTAGGGCTGGGCTTTTATGCGAGATTATGCCTCACTTGTATTTCGCCATGGCGCAGCTCAGCCTCTGGAGGACTCCACATTACCAATATTTCCGAAGAGGAAATTGACCGAACGTGCGGTTTAATGGGTGGACCTGCCGGCTTTTCACTAAGTGTGGTAATGAACACCTCGTCGCTTGGCAGGCTTCTCCCTGCTGGGCCTTCGGCGAGGATTCTGAATTTTTTTGAAAATTAGAAAGGGGTTTCAAGTCAAAGTGCGAGTGGCAGTAGGGTGCTTACACTTTCGCTCCCGAATATTTAATATTTAACAACTTACCTTTTAACGCATTCTACTCACACCCAGCATATCAGCAACTTACCTAAAACTATATTTTGTTGCAGGTTTCAAATCGTTGATGACTGCTGTGTAGAGGAGCGGACTCTCTGTTAGCTCTATCTGTCCCCAATTTCCTGCAAACAGTGGATGTGTAGAAGCAATTGAACCGACTTAGACCCAACTTACGATCAGCCTCCCTAAACTCGATGATGAATTTAAACACTTCGTTGGCATCGCTGGATTTGTGTCCCCATTTCAAGCTAACCGATGTGCTGCTTTTCGAAGGAATCTGTTTGAGAAGCAAATCAACCAAAACGCCTCTAAACAACGCAAAAATCAGCTAAATACCTCAATGTTCTGAGGTGGACCTGGAGGTTCCTGAACCAGAAGTTGCACCAACTGTTGGTCTCTTCCATACATGTTGCTCGCCTGGCAGAAATATGCTCCTGAGTCTGAGGCGGCAGCGTTCAAAATTTGCAGTTCTGCAACCACCTAAATCGACAATTATTTAGCACTTTTACATAAAGTGGGAACTTTTGGGTTGATGCTTACCCCATCAGGTGTGACGTCCTGCTTGGAGTTGACTCTGTAGTTGGTTGAAGGGTTTAGCTCCACCTTCCCTCCTCTCAACCAGATGACACTGATTGGTTTATCTCCATTTACATCGCAGTGTAGTAGAGCGGTGTCGCCTTTCTTCACGGTGATCATTCGCGAAGGTGCCGAAAAGTAGGGAGACGCTGAAGTTCAAGAAAGTTTTCATGAGACAAATTAGTAACCAGGTTAGGTGAAAATACATACAATTGACTCTCAGTTGTATGACCTTGCCGATGCCACTGTTAATTCCATTATCAGCTTGGCATAAGTAATAGCCTTCTCTGTCTTCTTTCACATGCTGAAGAAGCAAAGTCCCATTTCCGAGCAGTTTGGTATACATGTGATCCCTCACTTCCTCGTAGTCCCCAGATTTTGATCCTGGAAAAAATATCAAATGCTTCTGAGAAAATTACAAATCTTCACCCTGCTATGTCTGGATAAAGACTATCGGAGTAACAAGGTAAGTTTCCTTATCCTGTATGGGATGATTCGTTGCGGTCAATCATAATTTAAGCAAAGAAAACTTCCATCAAAATAAACTGCAAATTTTCATTTTCAATTCAGATGGTTTGTGAATTAGGAAAGCCCAATAGTTGGTCCAACTGACTAAAGAAATATTGAGTCGAGATATAGATAGAGTTGCAGATCAACAAATGAAGAAGATAACATGGTTTTATACGTTTGGCGTTGATATTGTCCTTCCAATCGCTAATTTAGTATCACATTGTTAGATTGAGGGGCGATTACATAAAATGATTTGAACAGTTTCTCGCATTTGCTTCAAGACTTTAGTCAGATTATGTGGAACAATTCCACATTTGGTCGATCGGTTCCTTTCATTTTATTATCAAATGTTTCTGTTCCTACGTCGAATCGGGATGTTGTGTTATTGGGTCATGAGTGAGTGGGAGCAAAGTTGGGAGAATGTGGAAGAATAGATCCAAAAATGGGTAAGTGTATAGTGTGCATTAAAGAGTGAAAAGAGGACAGACCAGGGAAGAATATCTCACAACTCAGGCCTGGAGAAAACTCTTTTTGTGTTTGTTCCGAGCATTGATTGTAAAACATTCACGATTAATTCCCACCGTTTGTCTGGTTTCTTGTACTCCCTTCATCATTTAGCACGCTCTCAGACAATGATTTAAATCCCAAATGGATATTTCGGTTTTTTTAGATATTTACAATTCGCTTATGAGTTTTCCCTCTTTGCCTATTGACCTTTTAATATCTGCTTCGCATGCGGTTTTTACGTCCTTTATGACTGACCAGACTATCCAGACACTAAATATTTCTTTCCTCTCCTACGCCTTTTTCTTCTAGAATTTCTCAAGTGGTCCTTTCCACAGTTTTGTTTTTTCTTCTTCTATTATCACAATGTTTTAGTTATATTGTAGAAAAGTTGTTTTTTGCTACTCTTCTTGTTTCTGTTAAGTGCGCTATTTTCGTGATGCATAGTTTTGTGTGTGTTTGTCTGATTTTTCCACCCCCATTCCTAATTTCTTCTTTTAACATTTTTATTTATTCCCACTGTCCATCTAACTCTCTGGATGACTAATTGAAAATAATTTTAGTAGATATATTTTAATCCACTTCAATTTCTTATTTACTTCCTATTCTTTGTTTGTAGAAGTATTTTAGGTTACATTTTTTTAAATTTTGCTTTGAAAGTAATTTTTTGACAAACTCGTTTTGATTGGAATTTTCCTTTTGTTTGATGCTCTTGGTGGTGGTTCTTGGGTTAATTGATGATGCTGGCTTGGCTGTTCAAAAGGCTTGGCCATATGTTCCAGTAAAAAAATATGTTTTTAGCCCCATTAATTGTCTAGACACACAATATGAGATTTTTGACTCGTATTTTTATCTAACTTTTAATTCCTGTTACTGTGCCTGTTTCTGGTTGTTTATTTTCTTGTTAACTGTGGATATTTTTGCGTGCTTTTGGTCTCAATGTTAAATAGATGGAAATTTTGTCTGGAGAGGGCCTTTAGAACAGCACACTTTGGCCTTCTTAATGATTAAAGATTCGAAATACTTATTCTAAAACTAAAGCACTTTTAGTAGTAAAATTTCAAGTAAAAGAACTTTGTTAAATTAACTTTTCTTTAGACCAAATGACATTCAAAGAATATTCAGCCGTTAAAAGAAGCTTAAATTGCCGAATAAAAAAACACACTTTTTCAAAAAATTGCAATTTCTTTTAAAGTTACAGCGACTTATCAAGATCAATACTTCAGTGAGCCTGAGGATAAGTGTGTGCAGAATTGCCAACATTTTCTAACAAAAAATATCTAAGCCAATTTTCAATCGTGCCTCCTTTATTGGTGAAATTATGTTCTCTGAAATCAGTTTTATTTACTTTTTTATTAAGTTATTAAGAATTTATTTTTGAGCTTATCCAAATAACTTGTTCGATCTTTCTGTGTGAACCAGCAGGACAATTTTTTTCTTTTTAGTTTGGTTTAGCAGTTAACAAGCTTTCAAATGGTTCTTCTCATTTCTGGTCGAGATTTTTGGCAAAGTTAGGACTCAATGCGGTCTTGCGTACCTTTTTGAATAATTAGGATTTACACATATTTGAAAATAGTAGCATATAGTTGGAGATCCTAACACTGATTACCTGAACACTTTATTTCCCTAAAATATTAGCCAGGAAGTTTCTCTAGAACTTGTAACTTCAGCAAATGCTAAGGTATGACATTTTTATAACAACATGTGTGTCATACAATATTAAGTTATGAAATGTGAAATTTTATAACTGACAAACCCCCGTTTGTTTGTAAAACAGAAGTTTAAGATGAAACATGTTTTCGTTTCAAGTTTAAACGGGCAGCCAAGTTTCAGTTTCAAGTTTAAATGGACAGTTAAGAAGTCATTTAGATCGGACTTTTTCTAATTTTAAATTGAGAAAAATAATAAACCTGCTTTCAATGAAACAATGCAGTTGAGTATTGCAAATCCTAAATAATTGAAAAAATAGTCAAAACCTATTCTCTAAATACAGATTCAAATGTGGTATGTTTTTAAGAAAATGTTGATCTGGGGTATCTCAACAGCGACCAGTTCTATAAAAAGCGAGGGCTTTAGGCGCAATTGCTTATTTTTTTGGCGCAATACAATGTTCCGAACTTGATCTTTACCTGCAGCTTTTTTCCAAGTTACTGTAGGAGTAGGAACGCCTTGAGCCTGGCAGTGTAACGAAACATGTCGATTCCTCTCAACACTCACATCAACAGGCTCCACTAACCATCTGGGAGGCACTAAAAATTAGAATTCTTAAGAAAATCCTGTCGCTTAAAAAATCCTATAAAAGACATGTTGTAGTTTTGACACCAGAATGCTTTCCAATTAAGTTTTATATCTCTTTATGACTCTATAGAATTCACTAGAGTTAATAATGTTTTGGAAGCATTTTGAACAATTTTTCGTGAGCCCTGAGCAAAAGCTGATTAATTTATTGGTGATTTTAATGCAAAAGCTTATGGACAATGTGAGTGGGAAGCACGTGATTGAGGTGCTCTAAATTGAGGTGCAGTTTTGCTATACTTTAGCCCATTAAAGTAAACGCCCAGTTCTAGAGGGTTTCACCCGATTCCTCAACCATGACAGCAAAATTTTGTTGGTCAAAGTTGAGCTTCCGTGGTAAAACGTTCAAAACTCAGCTCATTGAGACAATATGTTTTCCGTCAAGAAAACTCCTCTTGACTACCTTATATAAATGTACAATAGAAATAATTAAATTTGAGAAGAGATAGCAAGCAATCTATTGGCATGCCCATACAAGCATGCTGACAGCATGCAATACGAGTGAGAAGTGAAAAGAATACTGGTTTGGAACAAGTCAATGCTTCTGTTGGAAACAGCGACTAGATGCCAAATAGAAAAATAAAAAATCATAAGAAAATCGGTGCAAGAACGGTACCTTTGGCCTTACTCGCATCAGGGGGCAGCGATTCGGGCCCGGACGAAGACGCCAGCGGCTGTGCCAAAGCGTGGGCAGTGCGAGTGGGCGGGCGTGATTTTATGGCGTGATTTGGTGGTGAATTTGCGATTGGAAACCGCAAGATTAATGCAACCTGTTCATCTCACCAGATGCATTAACCTTGCAATCATTAGAATGGTGAGGGGCTAAAAAGGCCAAACGTGAAAGGACACTGAAGCCAAAAGGTTCATATTTAAGTGGCATTGGCTTTAGTAGCTTGGAACGCTTCATATGAAGCTCATGGCTTTTTTGGGGTTTCAGGATTCGTTACAGAATGAGGCACATGAAGTACTGTACCTTTCACTTGGAGCTTGGCAGTGAACCGAACTTCCGCTGCAGGGTTGCTGGCCACACAGGTGAAATCTCCTGAGTGTCGAGAATCAAGGCTGAAATTGATCAGGTAATTTGTGTAGGTTTGAAAAGTTAACCATTTCCTCGCTTCAAATAGTCACATTTATAACAGCAGAATAGCAGGCAGTAGGAGGGGGCTTTTTTTTCAAAATGGGGAATTGATCCTCAATGTTTCTCAAGGATTTTAATTAGTTGCAACTAATGAGGGGAACTGAGAAGAACTAGAGTTACTACACGGAACAAGCCCGGTTATAATTGATTAGTTAGATCAAGAGCTTTATTTGATTTTTCTGTAGGATTTTGAATGATCGAACACACTCCAGTGCTGCAGCATTTCCCAAATATAAAGATGAAAAGCTATTGGAAAGTGGACACATTGAACAGTCACAAACCTTCGGATATTATTGGCACGTTTTACAAATATGCGTTGATCAATTTTTTGAATTGAATTGTTGCTTTTTTGTCTTTTTTATGTATAATTGGAACGGGAACTTAAATATTTCCAAAGGAATTTTTTTCAAGGTGGCAAATAAAAGGCGCTCATGTATTTTCGCGTTGTTTAAAAAAGACCCCAATAATGGCTCGTTTTACTCTCATTTACAGTTAATACATTTCTCATCTGTATCTTCAACAGGAAAATTGATTGGAAAGCTGCAAACCGAATAATTTTTCATTGGGAATATGTTTTTGTTCCGTTTAGTTTAGTTCTTTTTCTAACTTTTATCAATCGCCTTCATATGCTTGGATCCACCATCTTTACAGGGTGATTTACCCATGGTAACTCAAAAAGCCATAGAAAATGTTAGAATAATGCCTCTACATGTCTCTACACAGGTTTTCTACAAATCCCGTTGATTTGAGATTAGAAATTTGGCTCTAATCACTTTGTATATTCTCCTTGAGTTTCAATGAAAACATTTTTGATTAATTTATTTAAAAGTAAAGTAAAAAATTATGTATACAAAGACTCAGAGCGATTTTTTACACATTTGTATTAATTTAGCATTGTTAAACAATTTATTAATAGTTTCTTTGGTAGCTTTTGAGAACGATCCCAGATTTTCTATCGAAACGTCAAGGTAATTTTTCGAAATTGATATCTTTACTAAGGTTTCTCCTACAGCTTGAGCCTACGCGCGTCGTAGCCCATAGCTCTTGCAAAAAACCTTTTCATCAAGAATTCTTTCTTTCTTGTAAAAATAAGAGCATTCTTTATAAATAGGGAGTTTTTAGGCCCCTTAATTGCAACACGTTTTACGGTATCCGATATTCTGAGCATGCGCATTATTAAAGAAACAACCGTTTACGTTATTAGAGGATAACGCGTTCCTTTATTTACGTGCGAGTAGCGGTAACGTTAACAAGCATCACGTTAAAAAGCAGAACGACGGTGTTGACATATTTGACTTATTTTTATATTATTAATAAAATAAGCAGCTATAATAAAATAAGAAATGTATTGCAAATTTAAATAAGACTTTTTCATTGATTAATTTTCGCCATTATTGCATTATTACGGATTTTATGTAAAAATTATTTGGGTGAATTTGAATTTTGGCAACACTACTAACATCGCACAGGCAGGGTCTAACTTCTAACCCATAACCTAACTATTTGATTTTGAATTTTTATTTAATATGTTCGTTCGTGTTTCTTCTGAAACCTAAAATTGATAAGGCAATCTATGGCCTCAATATTTTCTAAATTGAAAATAGTTCTCCGCGGTGTTAAGGTAACAGGTGGGTTAAAGATGACGTGTAAAATTAAGCCTCCTATTAAATCGTGATCCTCATCTCCCTGGTCATTTCGGTGCAGAAAGGCAGCTTCAATGTTTTCTTCCATCTTAGCCACATTTTGTTTAATAACAATATAAACTTATAAAGTGAAGTTCATTTGATTAAGAGTGCAACAAACGCGGCATCAAAAACTAAAAAACGCACTTAACGTTATTTGCCTGAACACCTTCTTTTTTTTAACACTGGGCATGATCACAATAACGTCTAGCGTTTAAGGCCACCGTAACTTTAAGGGGCCTAAAAACTCTCTAATATGTAATAGAAGACGTGGAAAAATTAATAAAAAACCAAAATTTTGAGGCGAAGCACCCAAGAAAAAGGTTTTGAAAACATAGAACTTATTCATATCAATTCATTTGTTACCTCAAGAGCTGCACGCTGTACGCTTGCACTCAGTGATTAAATCACCCTGTATACTAATTATTATACCGGGTGTCAATTTGAAAACTTCTCACCATTAATATCCGTCTTGAAGTTGAAAATATGAAAAATCGGTAAGACCCTTCAACTTTATTTGTAAGAAGGACACTTTAAATGAATATTTTTAACCTCCTTGTTTCAACCCCTTAGGCGTAGATGTCACCCTGAGAATCTTAAATGGGAAGGGGGGCCAAGTGGCACAACGTTTTAAAGGGCGTTTACCACTATCACTTTTGCTTCTTTTATATGATACTTCATTCAATTAAAGGCCAAAAAACCAACATTTTTGTTGTCGAGAATTGTCTTTGGACAAATGATCACTATGTTTCTCTTTCTCCTGAAGAAAGAAAAAACGAAAAAGTTCCATGATTTTTTTATTTTTTTACGTTTTCGGTCTTTCGTTTAATTCTCTTTATATGATTTACGCATTGTTGCGCACCTCTTGTTCCACTTAAGGGGGTTGCAAAAATTGACATGGTTTTAAGGAAACCCTACACAAATTACCTGGAAACACTCAAGAGACTACTGTAGGGGTCCAGTGACGTAACATTGACCCCAAGTTCGGGCGATAGGGGTCTTCCGTCCTTAAGCCACGTGACTGCCAAAGGGGGATCACCTGCGCTGACTCCACAAACCGTGCGAGTACGCATACCCTCGCTGAGCCCGTCTTGGAAGCTGAACGGCTCTATTATGGGAGGCACTGAGAGCAGGAGACAAACAGATAGAGAAACTGGCGAATTGGTTAGTTTTGGTTGAAGTGAACCCAAAGTGTAGTGAAGACCAAAAGTAACCAACTCGCCGGAAACGAAGACAGATAAAGAAAAACAGGAAGTTCTAACAAAATCAGTAAAACAAGACTCCAAATCGACGTTTCATCAAAATTCAGCATCCATCATTAGGGACAAGTGTTTACCATTGACGGCGAGCTGTTGAGTGTGCGCCACTTCAGCGGCAGCGTTCCTCACCACGCAGGAATAATTGCCGTTGTGTTCCGGCGATAGACTTTCTATAACTAAAATGCTGGTAAACTGGTCGACTTCAGTAATCGACACTGAACTGCCTGCATTTAGAATTCGACCGTCCTTCTTCCATGTTATGGTAAGGGGTAAGTCGCCTTTGGTGACCGAGCAGGTAAGCGATGCTCGGTCACCCACGTGCATCGCAGGCGCTGTATAAAATGGACTTATTTTGGGTGGTACTAGAAAAGAAAGCTCATTAGATCGCATGGGCGTTATCTGCATGGAAACTTGGAAAATCGACCTGCTGGAAACTTTCAGTATATTTAAGGCTGGGTGTTCCACAATAACAGGGGTTGCATCAAAGTGTTTACTCATTCGTCTCGTTTCTTCAGCTCTATAACTCTCTAGTTAAATAGCTGGAAATATGGAGAAAAACAGCAACAAATACTCTTGGGGTTGCACGCATATCGTTCTGCAATGTGCACAGGGGACATTTATGTTTGGAAAATCTTGGTCCTACGCTTAGGTCAAAGCTTTCCTGTCTTTTCCAGCTTAAAAAATCCAACAGTGTACATTTTTATGCACAAGTCCGATAAACTTCAAATCTTTAATACACCAGTACGTTCCAGTTCCAGTTCAAGTGTTGCGGGTCAGCACGAAATCGAGTTTTTGATCCTCTAGGTTTTTTTGGATGGAGGTAATAGGCGTATGAAAAAACGATTGATGTTGTAATTTTGGAATAAACATTTAAACTTGGAAGCTTTTTTAATAAACGCGTGATTAAATGGATTGAAGATAACGGAAGCTGAAAATTTTTCAATATACTTGACGTAATGTGGAATAAGGGAAAACCATAAGTAAGACCCAAACATAATTTCCACAGCCGGCAAGTTCATGAGGAAATAGGTATTTTACACTTTTCGTTTAACGCCAATCATCAATCAATCAAAAAAATAGTTAGTTAAACGTTTTAGCGTAGTTAAACAACGATAGTTTTGACGAGCAATAATTCAAGTTTCAGAGTGAATTTTTTTCTGAATCGAAAACTGAGAGAACCCGTAATTTTCTGGATTATTCATTTATTAGTTTTATTTATAAATACGCGATCGGGAATAAAAATGTTGTTCGTATACTGAAGAGCCAGAACTTATTATTTTGTCCTCCTCAACATACAGACTTGTTTCTGTGGGCCTTTCAAAGATAATTAATTCTTCCATTTCTGCATGAATATTAGTGAAGACCAATGAAACTTTCGGCACCATCAGAAATGTTTTAAATGCAGGTAAATGAGAAGCTAATGGACTCTTAGCCAGTTCGTGGGTACCTGAGATTAGCACTGTCTCAGAATCTGTATCATGAAAACCGTACATGATTATTAGAGTTCCATAAAAACATTTATTGCAGAATTGCAAATGAATTGGAAATATATTCTTTTTTTATTTTTCCAAGTGGAACACCCTAAAACAGCAGCCAATTCACTCGCCCTGTTATGCTAAAATAGAGCGAAATTAATTAATATTTCGTTTCAACTTTATAAACCAGTAAACGTTAGGGATTTTTTGCGCACTTATTGTGGAACACCTTAAAACAGCAGCAAATTCACTAGAGCTGTTATAGAGCGAAATTAATTAATATTTCGTACCAATAACATTGACTTCTCCGCTTCGCCGTGCAGTCTGACCTCCTTTGTTTCTCGCCCAACATGTGTAAACTCCAGAATCCTCCTTCTTTTGCACAGGTTCAATTATAAGGGTACCATCAACTAGAACCTAAAGTTAGAAACAAAAGTATCTGAGCAAGCAGCATGAGCAAAATTAGAAAATTATTTATAATTTTCTTGTAAATGCTTCAAGTTTGGTTAATTTTGGCGATTTACCTTTTGCCTTAAGCCATTGGGAAGTTCACTGCCGCTTCTTTCCCAATGGATTTCTTCAATAGGATATCCAGCAACTGGACATTTAAGCTTCAACTGTTCTCCTGCCACGGCTGTTACCTTGGGCAAAATGCGAATATACGGCAAACCTGAAATGAAAGGCCCTTGATTACGATTTAGCCTTTATAGCGAGCTAATGTTAATTTACTGCCTATAAAATCAAGTAAATCATAAAACTCTCATATTTTCACCATTATTTTTACGGTGGATAATTTATAACGGATTTAACCCGGCCCGTCTGCTGCTCGAGCTGTAATTATTTTCGGGCCATTAATTTGATTTTCCTAATTTGACCGCTTAGCGGAAATTTAGATTCCTATTTGGCATTCGCAAATTTGCCTGGAATTAAAATGCGATCTGCGATGAGATTTAAAACGATTTCTTCACGCAAATGAGGCTGCCCAGATTCTTTTGCCATTGGCATTCAGTTTTTTAATTCTCAAAAGTCGACTAGGGACATTTTTATTTTCCAATTAGGTTTAATGGTCATAGACTTTGGATCTTGGAAAACAAACTGAATAACTAACTGGAAGTAGGAAATATTTTAATTGAGTGGAACCAGAACTAGATTTTTGCATTAAACGTTTGAATAATTCGATATTTAACGACAAGTTGAAATGAACATTTTTTGAAACTGCAGGGATTTTTCTCTTAAAAAATCTTAATAATCTTTTACCAAAAGTTTGAGGTTCAACTTGGGAGCCTAAACAATTAGATTGAGACCCTTCAGCGTCGTCATCAAATTTTCAATGAAAAGTTGCTCATTCAGGGTTCATTGTTTCAATTATTTAAAATGAACTGAAATTGACTTTCCATTGGTTGAGAAACTATGAAGGCCAAATCAGACGTAAACAACGTTAGAAAAGTTTCGCACTTTCGGAAGGTTCACCGGATATACGAAACAGAAGTTTCATATTTATTTTTTAAATTGGACTATATTTTTCAATTTTTGTCGCTATTTGTGTTTCGTGTTCTTCATCTCTGGTAAAAAATGTTATGTTATGTAAAATGGGCCGATGATTGTTTAACTTTATTCAAGGAGCGTAAATTTAAAGTAGCTGGACTTAAACGGTCTGTAGAAAATTCTGTTTCAAGATGAAAACAGACATTAGAAAACAACGTCATTTTGAAATACAGGGTCCCAAAGTCATCTACTATTTAATTTTTTTTCTGTGTAAATTTTAAAATTTTAACCGCGTTTTTGTGCCTACCTATTTCAATCAGGTTTGGAATCAAAATCATTTTTCGCTCTTATTTACGTAAAACAGGTACCCTTGTTTGAAACCGCTATCAGTACCCGTTTTCGACTTTTTTTTCACATTTTAATTGCAACTTGATACACAAGAATGTAACAAACTTAAATTGAACAATTCTAAATATCGGAACTAAATTCTCAATCCAAAAACTGTTTTTCTCACTGTAATGAAAATATTTAAGGGCGTGAGATCGGGTGAATGTGGATTACACAGAACCGAACCGGCACGCCCGATCCATTTTTCTGGATCTCAGTTTACCAAAGTTCTTACGTTTACACTCTATTTGATTTTGCCTGCCTAAACGCTAAACTCTTATAAAAAAACGATAAACAATTTTAGTTTGTTACTTTGTTGTGTATTAATTTGCAATTGAAACGTTTGTAAAAAATCTCGAAAGCGGCTACTATTGAATGATTTCTTTCAGTTGTTGAAGTTAATGAAAGTAGACACAAAAAAGTTATTAAAATTTCTAGAACTTATAAAAAGTCCCAGAAAATACATATAATTTTATTACATTTATCTAAATTTTTGCGTGAATTATTCAGAACCAATTAAAATAAAATGCTAATTTTGTCACCCTTTAAATATGTCTAGACATATAATATTTTCATCTGAGAATTGGATTGTCTATCGACTGCTAAAGTTCCGCTACTATTAAAGACGTTAAACACTTTTCGGTATTATTTTTTTCTAAGCAACTGCTAAGAGTCTGTATTAGAAAATTATGAGTGTTTATGAGTCTGGTACTGGGATATTTAAAAAAAAATTCCGTAGTAAGCAAGACCAAGAAAGACAGCGAACTTCACTTCAAGATCAATAAATAACTAATACAGAGTAGGTATAGTAGAGTTACTTGGAGTTGGTTGGGAGCAAGTATTGTGGACAGCTTGTATATTTATATACAAATTCTCTAGCGAACGTACCGGATTCTTACAGTGTTTGCGTGTCATTAACGTGAAAGGAAACAGTCATTTCTAACGTTGTAAAATTCAATCGTTCTCTGTAACAAACGAGATAACGCCCAGCACTTTTTTCCTAGTAAAATGTTGCTTTCAACGCGCTCTTGTAAAATGATTCTGCTAAGCAATTATTCGGCTATTTACAACTGTTTTCTAAACATAAATTCTAGAAAACCCTTCAAACTTCAAGCTTTTAACTGAGAATTTCAACTAAACATACATAAATAAATTCGTTAAACAGACTGATGACTTATGAGGTTGCACACAACACATAAAATCCATAGCCCTTGGCCTATAACCTTTCAAATCACACATATCTATCACGTTTATTATTCCCGCACATATGTAGATCTGATTTAAGATTATTCTGGCATAAACTGCACACTGAAAGCAGAATTTCAGGGCTTTCAATAAATTCATAGAAGCTTTAAATTAAAATGAGTGCCATAAATATGGATCTCGCTTACCATAGACGTTCAGTCTTGCAGAATGTGCAGTTTTTCCAGCTCTATTTTCAGCAGTACACGTGTATTCACCACCGTCTTCCACCATGACATGGCTGATATTTACATGACTTATCACATCTCCATGTACAGTCACATATTGACCTATCACAAACCTGAAAAATTCATAATTTATTAAAGTATGACACACATTTATTTTCAGATTTTCGATTTCGTTACAATCAAATGTAATTGTGATCTATAGGAATAGGAAACTGAATTGAATATAGCCCGGCTAACTCAAATCGTATCTGATAATTACAAAGTAACTAACAGAGTGGAGAACAATTTGCAATTTAAACTTGCGACATAATTTTAATTATAAATTCGATGTGCCGATCAGACTGTTTCGCATTCCCATTTTGGCATCGATTTTCCACTGCCAAATCCATGAATACCAATGCAGAAACGAAACGATGCTCTATTTAACTAGTTAGTTTGCTCATCAGTTAACTGGTGATCGTTTTATTTATAGTCATCTACTGTGAATTTGAATAAAAAAACTGGAAAAATCGGTTATGACAATTTTCATAATTATGTGCAAATCAGCTTGACAAAGTATGTGAAACTTATCAAATGCTCAGGTTTATTGTTGTGCCAAGATCCAGAGTCATGTATTATATTGTTCAAATATTTTAAGGAGGTGTTTAGAAGATACTTTTGGAGAAACTACTTTTGGTAAACTTGTCAGCTCTCCCTATACAAATAATATGAAAAATGATGTTTGATTCTTGGGAACAACAGAAGAATATTTGAACTTTTCGTTAGGAGATTTTGCAAGTGCAGATGTTTTGAAAACGGCGCCATTGACAAAATCAAACACTCGTTTAAAAATTCATGATGTAAGGTTTTGGAAGAAATTACACTCCCGATAGTTAAGAAAGTGTTATGAGAATGCTGGCGCTTTCAGTCAACGGTTTGCGAAAAAAACACAGTTTTTCTGGGGCGAAAATTTCGGCCCCATTTTAGCCAACACGAGGCTCTAGAAGTGCAGCCCATGATGATGGTTAAAATATAATGGAAACGCTGGACCAAATGAAACAGATTTTATCCCACAATCTGCGAAACCTCCATCATAGTCATGCATGCCATGGTTATGATCACTAGGAAACTTGGATGATTGGTGATGAAGAACATGTAAAATGTTACTTAAAATTTCCATGAGAAAGTATAGTCAGTTTGGATATTGATTCCCGAAAACGAGTGAAAAAACGCGAAAATTTTGGTTTTTTTCCATCAGAAATTTTGGTTTTTTTCCATCAGCGAATCAGACACCAAAGTTTTAAAGCCCTAATTTCCTCGTTCAACTTCCTGATTTTTCAAATCAGCTAAATGCTGCTCTCTTCTCAATTCCCTTTATGCATCTTTTCACTCATCCTCAATTTAAAAATCCAGAATCCTTCCAATGTTTTTTGTAATGTGCCTAACTAGGCAACAGAAAAAGGTAGAAATTATCACCCTTACCGTACGCTAAAAATAGTTTAATTTAAGTAGGGACGCCCCTCAAGGTTGAAAATAGACCAGCAAACAGTAAAACACAGGAACTGTGTAACCCACCCGCCCCAGTTGTTAAGGGAGGCAAAAAACGATCAGTCAAGCGCGAAATTCGGACCCTAATAGGACACTATCCGTATGCTGGCAGCGGCTAATGAATAGCCAGCTCGGCAAAAAAATGAGAAGCATCGAGAGAAATGGGGCATAAAACTGTTGCAAATCAGATATGAACGACTAAGGCTAGGCGGAGTTGATTTGAAAAAAAATCTGCCGTGAAGGCTTCGACCTCAGCCTTTGCCTAATTCTCTTATTTGCCGGCTAAATGGATACAAATACCTCTCGCCCTTTGGTGCTCAAAATTAGTTCGTTAATAGGGCAGATATTTCTTCGCTTATGTTCGGAGGTTTGTCTTCATTTCGCGTGCCAAGCAGGATGAGAGCCATTTCCACACAAGGCCATAACTTTCGCTTAGTACCACAAAACACAAATACAATTTGTCCCGAGCTTATGAAGAAAAATCACAATGGACAACAATGGGCCGAACTTTTTATACGGGCTTGATAGATAAAGGCCATTTGCCGCACAAAAACAAATCGTTCGCAAGTTGTCATTATTTATTATATTCTCTTGTGTTGTCGCTTTGCCAAGTTTCATGCGAAATTAATTAGAGCGTTAACTGACTAACCAGAGGGGTGTAGTTTCAAGATTTCTCGCATAGCTAATGGAAATATTTCAGCGTAAAACGCACATTTATATGCATAAATTCACTTAAAAACAACGCAAGCTTTGCGTTGTTAAATGGAACTTGATTGTTAAACTTTACAGGCAAAACAACTAGTTAACGTTTTATTGCGCTATGAGAATTTGCAATGAATCCGATGAGGACCAGCTTGTTCATTCCTTAAAGGCAGAGCAAAAGAGTTGGATTATTTATTACCTTGTGAATCTTGGCGAAAAACAATTTTTCTCAGGGCAGAATCTGAAGCTGAGGTTCATATGGAAAAAGTGTGACTACGTTGAAAATCGTTCTCAAGTTCTCTAACACCAAAGTAAGCGAATGAAATTATCTGCAAATGTGATCAAAAGGGCTAATAGATGAACTGGTTTTATTCCATTCATAATAGATTAATTGTCCCTACAATAACAAGTTGCTTTATGTATACTTGCCGTATACTAAGTGAGATTTCTGGTTGTCCATGAATATTTCTGAAAGGTTCATAAAAATCGGCCAAAGCCCTCAATTTTTCCAGCTGGGTAAATTTTAAACTCATAATGAATGCTTTGACTGAGCTACTGGTCTGGTCTTCAAAAATTGGAATATTGGAAACCAATACAGGCAGCAACTTGAAATTACCAGCACCTTTAGACAACACTTGATTCTACAGATGCAGAAAGTTTCATAAAAATAGCCCTTAAGACTGATTAGTTTCCGCTTCGTAATTACCGACATTAAAATGGTCGTTTTCCTGCGCTTACGCCTTTCAAAACTAATATATTTTAAACTATCAGAAGTAGTACCTAAAATCGCATTTGTGACCATATTGACGATTGTCTGTACATAAGCCCAAAGTTTCATAAAAATTACGCCGAATTTATAATTATCTCGAGAAATAAATTAAATAAAGAATGATAAGTCTTAAAGTGACCCTTTTCTTAGTTGTTTTTAGATTTATTTTAAGGGCGATTTATTAATAATAATTTTAAAGTTTTTTCACAGTTTCAAAATTTTCCAATTTCAGCAAAGTTACTCTTTCTTCTACACCCCTAATTTTCTAAAGTCTCACTTAAGGTCATTCCCCCGAAAAATTATAAAGTACATTTTATCAGTTATTATTAAAACTCGCCTCCTTCGTCTCTTTTTTTCAAAAAATTGAAATCCTTTTCCAACTTCCAATTTGGGACAACAATCAAATGATTTTTTATCAAATAAGGAACAGAATAAGCGAACATTTATAACAAATTATTTATTAATAAAACTGCGGTTTTTTAGTTTTGATTTAATTTTTCTTGATTTACTTCTACTCAATAGCGCTCTATTTTCTAAAGTTTCACTTAAAAATACTGAGGTGTTTCACGCCAAAAAATAAGGCAAATTTATAACTTTGTAGAAATTTAAAACAAACCTTTTTCAGTGTCGAAATCGGGCAAAAACGGAAATAGATTTCCGGTCACCGGTCACAAAACAGAAATGTTTTAACGAAAAGCGCAGAAAACAGTATTTTTTCTGATGGTTTTCTTCTTTTTGGGCACTCATAGGGTCTTTTAAGAACCAAATTACAAAATGTTCTTTGTTAGAAAGTTGCAAAAAGAAAGTAAGAAAGAACGTATTGTAATAAATCACTTTATATTATGAATGTTGCCCGCTTGGTAAATATCGGTCTTATAGTGGATGCTTTTATTCAAGTTCACTCTTTATCTCAAAAATTATTTCACCACGTGAAATCCTTCATAAACTTTACACAGCTCTAAAGATGTTAAAAATTTAATTGAAAAAATTGCATCATCTCTTTGAAAATTCGAAACTTGCAGCACAAAGCACGGAAGAATTTAAAGCACCTTTAGAAGACACGCGACTCTTCAGTTGCTCAAATGTTTTTAAAAGTGAACCGGAATTCTGACTTTCAAAATGCTTATCTTCCCGAAAAGAGCAAGTAAAAATTATCTTTAGAGTCTTCGTAAAATTCTTTGCTTTGAGGATGCTGAAAGTTTCACAGAAAATGGATGTTTTCAATCAAATCCGCGCTCTTTTTCCAAATTTGAACCTTCTAAACTTAATAAAATCTCCCAAACAGAAGCTGGTAAAACCTTACCATTTTTACCGTAATAACAGAAACCGTACAGATCTGAAAAGCCCTAAAAATTCCATAGAATTGATAAAAATCGCTGATGGTGATGGACACCAGCTTGATAAAAATGGCTCTCAGAATGAACGTTTGTACTCAACTGCGCTCTCTGGTTTTTTAAACTCTTTGCCTTAAAACCCCTCATGTTCCTAACTAAAAGAAATAACATTAGAAAATTTTTACAAACCTTAGAAAGCATATGAATGCTAAAAGGTGCATTCAAACTACCCAGAATCGTTTGCTAGCTTAGTACATGTTAGTCTTGAAATTAATGTTTTCACGCACAAGGTGCCTTTAGAGCGCACTTTTCTCTAAAAATTCTGAAAGTTTTATAGGAATTTCCCAGAATCATAATTTTTTCCAGCTTGGTAAATATCGGTCTCAAAATGGTTGATTTTTCTCAACTGTGCTTTCTTCTGGAAAAAACTCAGATATTTTAAACTGAAAAAGATAGAAATTGGAAATGTTCACCCGCGTTTTAAGCAAGTTGATGCTACAGACGCTGAATGAGTCTTTAAAAATTGCTCAAGATCCTAATTTTTTCCAGCTTAGTTGCAAGTCCAGCTCAATCGGAAACAGTAAACTCCGAAAAAGTGTTAAATTTATGCAACAGCGTATCATGCATATGATTATATGAATCAACTAACTAATTAAGACACTGTCGGATAATCGGAGGATCAAAATGCCAGAATTTCCAAGCTTGACGCCTGAAATTGTCGCATGTTTTACTAAAAGCAAACAAATTTATCGCTCTTATATGGATTTTCCCAACTCTCACGACAAGGATAAGGAAACTGATATTTCGCATGTAATTGTTGAAAAGCTGTAATTTTTTTTCGAAAGTGCCAGTTGACAAAAATCTGCCATAAAACAGCCAGTTTTCAAAGCTTTACCAAAAGCTCCTTAAATCGAATATGAAATTGACAAAAACTAGGGCTAATTCGAATTGTTCATTTTCTCTTTTATGTATTAATAGCTAAAAACTGTAAGTCATCGGAGTGCACCTAAGTGATAATTTGAGACAGAAAACTGGCATTAAATAACCCCTTTTTGGAATAAAGTATGTCTTTATCCAGAGCCTTCCAATCTTAATTTTATTAAATCGGTAGTAGGTATAAAGCTGGAACGTGATAAGAATAAAAATCTATTAAAAATGAGCAACTTTCACTGCTAGTTTCACTGGAGCATCACTTTTGCTTGCAGTCGAGCGTAAAAATATCTGTAATGATCCCTCAGCATATGCACGAAACAGCTTTATACTTTTGTACACTTTTCGAGATTCAAGAAAATATTTTCTAGTTCAACTTGCTCGTTCACAACAATCTTTCTCGCCAGTGAACTTGATCCAACAGACGGCAGAGGCATTATCAAATCCCCACGGGTTTCAAATTATACCGGTTTTATGTAATTCTCCACCACTGGAGAGTTGAGGTCAGACCCATCCGTATCCCCACATAGTGCGACCTTTCCGTTTACGATTCCCGCCGTAAAATACGTTCCATCCTGGAACACAGGATGAATATTGCGGATGCTTCCTATTTGCGCAATGTAATCTCTTTTAACGGCTTTTCTCTTACTGTTTATTATGGCGTCGGGGCCAAAGTGTGCTACTTGACGTTGAACTTTGCTCAGATAATCAATTTTTGTATAGAAAAAAAAGGTCTTACCGGCCATGACTGGGCAGGGAAAATCCGTCTAGTAGCCACGATATTTGTGGGGTGGGGTTTCCAGATGCACTACATTTCAATGAAACAGCTGGCCCGGGCTGTAGGGTCTGCTCGATGAAACTGTATAGAAGTGCTGGAGGAGCGTCTGAAATAATTAAGGAAAAACTCTATTTAAGTAAAATTTTGCCACTAGAATGTAGCTAGGTAAAGGTAGTTTTGGAAGGGTTGATAACATTAAAAACTGCTTCCGGTTGTTTTGTCCTAAATTAATGTCTTGTCTGCCCAGTTGTTACAGTAAAATAGAAAATTACGCAAAAGAAAATTGCGATCGTTTCAATACTTTTTAGTAGCATCAAAAATGCCGGACCAACAATTATGGCAATTATTCTTCAACCGGAGCAGCCAACGAATGCAGCCCAAAGGAATTAGAATAATAATTATAATAAGTCTAGTGCAAAACGTTTGCTTAGCCCCATTTACGGAATTAAAGCAGCGATTCCAATGTAATTCCCAGCATTAATATCGAAACTTTCTAGAAGATCCCGAATGCAGAATTCCGAATTCTGATGGGAGATTTAAATATTCCTGAACTTTGAAACTGGGGCGCTTTTAACGGGAATTGCTAATTCCCTAAAAGTGGGACTTGCAGTTAACACAAATGATTGAAAAGTGATTATACTTGCCTCCGAGTTGTAGTTCAGCAGCAGCTTGGGCTGTATCTCCTTCGGTTCTTCTTACGACGCATTGGTACATGCCACGGTCCTCTCTGCCGACGTTGTTCACTATTAGAGTCTCACTGGGGCCTCTTCCAGTGCTGGGCAATTGTCTCCCGTCTTTGTACCACGTTATCATATGGGGACTGTCCTGTTTTGTTGATACCACACACCTAAGAAGAGCGAGAAGAAGATGCAGATGATCACAGGAAACCAGTGTATTAAGAAACCGAAAGGATATTTCTACTTAATCAATATGGATGAGTTCAGGGCGAAACGTTCCGGAGTTTTCAGTCCTTAATTCGCATCTCCGGTGGGACAATTTCGAAGAAAGTTAGGAAGGAGGAACGAGACATAAGGATTTCTACAACATTTTCATTAAAAACAGGCAAAATTCTATCAATAACAAGATGGAGTGGTGGCTTATACTGACTTTAAATTGCCAGAAAGAAGACTTTACACTTTCAATGTGTGGGATCAGTGTGGATCAGTGAGAATCAGATTACGTATTAATCAATAAACTGTATCATCAGTCCATGATATCGGCAAAAACGTATCCTGGATCAGATGCAGTTACAGATCATAATCCAGTAATAGTAAAATAGGCCCGATTACAAGCCCCAGGTAAAACCCTAGCAAAAAACAACTACAAGCTTCACAGCTTCAGAACCCAATAATGAGAGATCAGTTTACAAAAAAGATTTTCACCGAACTAAGTAATATCAGACTTGAACCGAATGAAGAAAACCCAAACACAAAATGGGAAACTATCAGAACCACGCTAATGACTTGACGGAGAAGACGACGGAATATTGCAGCTAATAGAGAAAAGGAGAACTGAAAACAGGAGCAACGATGCATATACATACACATAAGGACATAAGAGAAAGAGTACCAGAAGCTAAAGGCAAATGGTACGGAGCAAAATGTGCAGAAATAGAAGATTTAGTGGGTAAACACAAAAACCTTAACCTTCATATAAAATATTAGGAGCTAGAGCTTTTAAAAAGACGAAAGCAAAGCACTGTCTTGTTGGACAAAAATTGCAACAAAATCCCAGACACTGAAGGAAAACTGGTAAGATAAAGTGAATATATCCAGGAACGACTTGAAGATGACAGACAACAAGAAATAATAGGGGGAAACACAGAAAGTGTGTTGGGCACAACAGTATCTAAGGAAAAGGTAATTTATGCAGTAAAAATTGCGAAATCTTGCACGTCTCTAGGACCTAACAAAATTATTCTTCTTAAAGATTATTAATATAAATATTTAATAGAATTATTAATAGAAAAAGTCAGTAAATATAAATACTTAGGAACGATTGTCAATGAAGATAACAAATACATGGAGAAAATTGAGTCAAGAATTGGACAAGCCAGAACCATATTTAACAAAGTGAAAAACGTGTTTTGTAGTAGCAATCTTAATTTAAACCTCAGAGACCTCAGATATATGGGGATGCTGAATTTGGTCAGTGTTTCTTCATGCGATCGAGTCCTAGACGTTGAATACAAACATCAGTTATCTACCAGAAGCATTACAGCAATTATGTTGGGAATATGTTGGGTTGAGAGGGTCACAAATGATAAAGTACTGGGAAGAATAAGAGAAGATTAAAATGAAAAACAATTAAAAGAAGGCGGTTGCAGTACCTGAGCCAAATGATGAGCGAATTGAAGTATATGGTGTTGCAGAACATTATTCAGGGAAGGAAACGGAGAAGAAGAAGCAGATGGAGAAGTCGAAAAACTTGCGGCAATGGTACAACTGTAGTTTCGTTGAGCTATTTAGAGCCGCATTGGCAAAGATGAAAACAGCTGTGATGATATCCAACTTTCTTCCAGGAGTATGAAGTCTCAGTCTCATATGAAGAAGAAGAAAAAACTCTTCCAGTGCACACAATGCTTAATGATTCACTTAATCAATCATTTTTTAATTTATTTGTAGCATTAAAATTTGTGATTTTTACCAGAAAATGATTTTCATTAGGGCAGAAAGACCGATTGGGTCGATAGCCTTTTTCCGTAGGAAATAAAGATTATTTATATATATATATATGTATATGATTTTCATGTTCCGGTCAATTAACAGTAATTAATTGCAAAAAATGAATTTCATTTTCCGCCAAATATGAGAGAGAATAAAATTGTCTATATTTCTCAGTTTCTTCAACTGATACCATTTCTGAAAATAAAGTCCAAAGGATATGGTCACAAGAAGTCCAAATTTTAGACGGAGAAAAAGATTAAAATTTTCTGAAAAACGCTCCTCATGGTGGAACCTCTGTTACATAAGGTAGTACTGGTAATGGGTGTTTTTGGTGGATTAACTCCCGATGAGTTAATCAAAAATTGCCATTCACCATATAGAAGATAAAGAGTCGTTAAAATTGTAAATGCGCCAGAAACTGAAACATTAATATCAAAAAGTTTCACTGTTGTTGACGAGGAAAACAAGAAAATACGCGGCATTAAGACCTAAAGTAATGAAAGAGCGAATATTTTTTCTTACGCACATAAATAGTCGCTGTACAGTACAACCGGTGGGTAAAAATACTGCAGAAAGTGTGCATGCAACTATAGCAAATCCCTTAAAATTTGGTCATGCGGAGGTTTACTCCGGACAATGTCTGTGGCGCATGTCGTTTTCTGTTCTTGTTGAAGCAGGGGTTACGATTGAACCTCTAAAAGACCATAGAAACTGCAAAAGTTTGACGATAGATTGAAAACAAGGTTGCTTCACGCGAAAATCTAGAAGTGAATTCTTCAATTCAATGAAATCTTATCAATATGAGCAAATAAAAGGAGAATCTTCGGTTTTAAACATGTGCGAGACACAGAAGAGGGTCTTTGCCAGGAGTTCGCGACCTTCTGTTGTCCGTTCTTTTTAATTGGGAAATTAAGTTTAGTTCTCAGGTATTGATTTAATTCAGTTATGTTTGGTAGTATAAAGTCGATAAACTTCACTGTGAGAGAAAAAAAGTTACATAAAAGTTATAATGCACTGCGGGTGTTATGGATATTATTATTTGCTTTAATTCTTTGTCAGTATGGTTCAAGAAAATAAATCCAGAAATTTTCGGAAACCCTGGGTGTTAAAAGTCGTAATTTTAATTCGTTTTTGCCTTTTTGTGCATATACCGGATTTCCCATTCTCAAAGAATCACCCTGCAAATAAGTGAAACAAAACAATTTAACCAAAACTTCCATCTGTTACCTAAATTCGGCACTTCCACCCATGTGAACGCTCATCAACGGAGGAGAAATTTCCAGATGCAGTTGAGTCAGCACCTGAAGTCGGATATCAGCACTGGCCTCGCCTCCAGCATTGGCCGAAGAACAGCGATAGGTACCACCTGCAAACAATGGAAAAATCTACGATAAAATCTCTCAATCACACGGTGACATTGCAGATGGAAAAAGTCGACAACTAAAGGAACCCATCAGTATTGCGTTAACGATAAGGGAAAAATTTCCGTTCTCGATATTTTTCACGGAGAAAGGTTTCCCCATACAAAGAGGTTTCTGGGTAACGTTCATGCCCAATTTAATCGATCACTGTAACAAAGAGTTCAATCAGCACTCGAGGCCAAGCACCGGTGAGTGATTGCGGAAATAAATACGGGAATTTTATAGAGGAACTCTATTATTATGATTCTGTGGATTGCTGAATGTTCGGGAACAAAAGGGGTTTTGTTCAGTGTTGAGCCTGTGAATACAAACGACATTCTAAACATGGCCTTCATGAATGGAAAATTAAATATCTAGCTAATGTTTATTAGTGTTCTTATACGTACCATCTTCTGGAGTCACAGCTTCAATGGCAAGCACTGGACCCAACTGGCGGACTCTTGGCCCAGGAATGATTAGACTAGGAGGTTCAATTCCATCCTTCCCACCATAAGTGTACCATCTACACCGAGTAGCAAAAACGTGATTTAGTCAAACAGGAAAACAACGGTGGGCGTGGAATTTCACATGATTTTACTCAAAAAAAGAAAAAGTAGGGAAAAACAGTGCCATAAAGATTCCAATTCCAGATCAAAGAAGCGGGTTTTCTCGATCGATCCTCATTAGGCCCGATCCGAGAGCGGTGCTCTTTTGAAACTCGAAAAAGCGTTACTTCGTTTATTTTTTGCCTAGGTCTCGCAATTTTGCTTTTCTCATAAAATAACTACGCTCCACCAATCCAGGGTTCATTAGAGAGCAACAGGAATAAATTAATTAGGTGCAAATGGCAGCAATGTTGTTCTGCTTGTTAGATATGCAAGTGTGGTAAACAGATTTTTGTAGCTGATGAATAGCTCCTAAATTCAAGGGCTGCAATAATTGAATATAGGCAATATTTTAATGAATAGCTGTAAAATTAACAACTGAGCGAGTGTTTGCCACCCTGAAAGCATGATAGAGCGTCGCTCTGAGAGCATGACTTCAAATTTAAATTATGGAAACTCGTGCTGATAAGTCCGAAATTTAGGTACTTTTGATTCGTCAACACCATAAAAATGTAAATTTTAATCGTTAAATAGCTAAAAAAAAGAACACTTAGCATTTGAGATTCCACTGATTGTGATGCATTTTTCATCAAATATCCTTCAGCGTCAATGATTCAAATCATAGTGATTTGTTAAGCAAAAAATGATCAAATTAAACATCTTCATTTTCACCATTCCCTAGTTGTATTTGCGCCTGTAAATCCTAGCTAAACTGCTTCACAGTTTGAGCTTTCTAGCACTCAAAATTGGGGTTTTGTAGCATCATTTTCTGTTGAAATGCATTCCTTTTTTCCGCTTCCTTACATAAAGCAATCGGAGAATGTGAATTTTGATCATGTTCGTGCTGTTGCACATTGGCGTTTCAAATAATTTATCAACATTTGGAATATCTGCCCTTTTTTAAAGAAAAACCCGCGGTTTTTCCCGTACTTGAAAATATCTAAAACACAGTAAATTGCAACCGGAATATTTCAAAATCCAATTCCGGCTCGCACACAAAGCAGCAGGTGAGGCAGTGTGACTCTTCAATTCGACATCTCCATTCCTATAAGTTTCTTTTATGGCTTTTACCGTATTTCTTTCCTATATTGTCGACCGCAGATATTCGTTTTCGCACCTGTATAAAGTTTAGGCAACAATTCAACACGTAATTGAAAATTGGAAAAGCTTTGCAGTGAAGTGCAGTAATTTTCGTTATTACAACAAGAAACCGTTAGTGATACTAAAGATGTCATTTGCATTCCTGAATGTGTTCAAATGTGCAAATTTTTTAAGGCTCAAATGAAATTCGTAAATAATTAAAAAACCGTTTGGTAAAATTCCAAATTTTTCAGACGAGAACTGGATTAGGAACAAATACAAACTTAAAATAATAATTGTTACATTTCGGTTGCTTTATAAATATTTAATGCGATAATGCTAAAATAGCTTGCCCGAGCTGGAATAAATGTAAACCAGGAGCGTTTAAATCACCGATTCCACAAATTACCATAAATATGAAAAATTGGAATATCCCGGCATAAAAGGGGGATTTAACCGACACACAAAACAGCATTTGCAGTAAAATACTGAAAATCCCTAAGATGTGAAGTTCAATTTGGTTACATATCAAATAAAGTTTTTTTTGGATAAGGGCTTTTCAGTTTGTAAACTTACCGATATTCCGGTGAGGGACATCCTTGAGCAATACATATTAAGGCTGCTCCTTCATCCTGAGCCACCGTTACAGTCCCTGAATTTTCTACAATCACTGGAGGCGCTATTCCTCTATGATCTGAAAAAAAAGTTTTATTATTATATATTATGTTAAATTGTATTAGAGATGCGAACTAATGAAGAATAAGGGAAGTAATTGGTGTTCTTTCTATACTTTTATTGAGGTCGCGTTGATATACAGATGAGTTGCTAGTTGAAAGACCAAACTTATGCATACAATTTCTAAAGTAAAATATAAAATTGCGTATTGACAAAAAAAGAATTGAAGCTACTTCTCGATTAAAAATTGAGATGGACAGATTGAATGGATCTGCAGCCTTCAAGTTTAAATATATATTTTTAAATAACATATTTTTAGTAAAATCGGATGATTTGCGAGCTTCAAGGCCGTCGTCTGAATGCATTCCGATAAACAAGAGTTTTTCAAAACAACCATTCACAGGGCTTCTAAGATGACGGCGAGATGAGGGTGTTCTATACACACTTACTGTCAGAGATCATTTAAATTAGGATTATCCTAAGCAATGTACAGACGAATCATAGTTTCAAAGCTTTAAAAACATTATTTTTGGACACTCTGTTTCACTAAAATCTGATAAAAAAATCTTCCAACTTATTGGTAATATTATTTGGTTACTTACATTCTGGACAATATCTGGATTTCTTTTATTTCTCTTTACTTTTTTTTAGTTAAGTTAATCTTAATTGCTTTCGGTAAAAAACTAAATAAAATTATTTGGTTTTTGCGCCAAATTCGAAGCTGAAACGAGCTTTATAAAATTCCCTGCAAAGTGATAAATGAGGCGAAAGAACAAAACTAGTTTTGTAATTTTTGCTAAAACGACCTCATGATTATCGGCAAAAAAGAAAAGCATCAGAAAATAATGGGTTTTTGGGGTTTTGAATAAAAAAATGACAGTTTTGTGATGGCTTTTTGCGAAAATATTAATTATTTTCAGGAAAAAACGGAAGAAAATGTATTTTTCTTTTTCGGAAAATTAACAAATTACAGTTTTCTGTACAGTTTTTTTAGGGTTGTTAGGGGCATGGGGGTGACAAGTTTGCCAAATAGTTTATTATAAACTTTCGCTCATTTTGTTCTTTGTTTGATCAAAATTTCTGTCTCAAATTCGCAGCTGGAAAAGGATTTCAAAACTTGTTAAAAGGGACGAAGGAGGCGAGTGTTATTAAAATTGTTAATAAAATATATTTTATAATTTTTCGTCGTAATTACCTTAAGAGAATTTTCAAGTGAAACGTTAGAAAATTGGGCGTTGATTAGAAAGTGTAACTTTGCTAAAACTGTAAAATTCTGAAATTTTGAAGACACTTAAAATATTATTAATAAATGGCCCTTAAAATAAATCTAAAAGCAACTACAGTTTTTGAAATATAAATGATGGCAACACGAATTGAAAACATGAAGAGATATGATAAAAACACTATTAAGCACAAAATTTAATTGATATTAGCGCACTTTAATACAAAAGAAGAACTGAGAAGAGACGCTATTGACGTTGGAAACATTTACTTTTCGAAATTGATGCTTTAGAAATGATAAATTGGTTCAATTCTGTAACATGAAACTGAAAATTTCAATGCTGAAACTACTGCTCAAAACGATTCTACAAGTGAAAAAACCAATAGATCGAAGAAAAACTTCGTCAAGAAGCGAATATTTGTTTCCTGGTCAAGTACAAACTTTGTAGCAGCAAAAGCCAAGTGTAGATATTCTTGTTAATCACATCGCTTTTAAGCAGTAAATGAGGCAAATATTGTGGAAACAAATAAACGAACGAAAAGGCGAAGATACAAAACAGAGAAAAATTACAGAAGATACTACAGAAAGGCAGCACTTGAAGCGAGCAGAAAATAAGCCTAAAGCATCCGACAAGATACAGATAAATGTTGAAAATTTGAGAATTAAAAAAACATTACAGCTCACTAAATCCATCGACTCACAGGCAGACACATTCATTTGCATTGTCATCATACCCAACATAAAAACAGTCAAATAAATCTGCATAAACAAACCATGTAAAAATATCGAAGATCTGAATGCAAGACACGAAATTTTCAATTTACATAAGGGACGACAGGCAGCAGTTTCCAAGCGATGTTGAAAAGTGCTGTGAAGGAGCATAGCAATGAGTGAGAGAAAGAATAAAGAAATAGTTAAAATTGGGAGTGAAGGTATTTTAGCAAACAAACAGTTCATCTATTGTTCACAGATGCCTCTTTAAACAGAGTTGCATCCCACAGTAAGTAATTTGTAATAAAGTCGATATCGCTAAGATAATTAATGAGAAAAATATATTCAACGCTTAACCGCAACTACCACAAATACCTTAAAGCAAATAAGTTTCTCAAGCTTGGTCCTTAACATCGGTTTCAGAGAAAAAAAAACGTAAGATTTTGAAATGTGAACTTCTTCCTTGAAACCACAAAACTCAGGAGATTTACATACGTGATCGTCGTACAAAAGGCGTAATTTATATAGTTTGTAGTTTGACTATACGTGGTTTTAGGTCGATTTCAACCACAAATTTGGGTTTTTGAGACGATTTTAACATAAAATGAGTACCATGTCGAATGGTCTAAAAGACGCATATTTTCGAGAAGCTGGATGACCATGATTAATGTTTTTGTCACGTTTTTCAAATAATTCGAAGATATAAGTACTTTTGAGGGATAGAGAGCCATTTTAAGAAACAAATGTCCCAAAAGTACGTGGAATTTGCCATTTATTTCAATATGTCTGCTACACAATCTGTCAGAATTATTTTCGTGATTAATGGGGTATGAGGAAAACTATGCGCAGTTTACTTTGTAAATTTTTATAAAATTATCAATATTTTTCCATGTTTCGGTGGAAAATTAATGTGTTTTTAAACGACAAACGTTTTCTTCATCGCGTGTTTCAGCATCGAGTCGTCCAGGTTTTTTTGCGATTTTCCCAATTAGAAACTTTAGTTTGCAGTCATCAAGCTACAAAAACTGTCTCATATTGAACAAACGCAATTAAAAAAATTACCTATTCTGGTAGCTGCTTTGCAACTGAAGTAAAATTTTTTATTTTCGGAAAATCATCCACGTTTTCAGCTTTTTTCAGGACTTTTTTAGTGCATGATAAAACATGAATAAAGGGTTTTGCTTTAAAGCAAGAAAAACCTTCCTGACTGTTTCACGTTTAGTTTATTATGCTTTTTACATTGTGGTGTCGAGAGGTTGGGCACAACTAATACATTGATCTAATGGATATCTATGTTGAATTTTGAGATCTAATAAAGTTTAATGGATTTGTTGTGCTGAGCCCTTCGGGTCCGACATTAACGTGAATGCAAAAAAAAGAATGTTTTTCTAACACCCATTGACATGGTATTTAATTTCAGTTGAAATTGTCTCAAAAACCGAAACATTACGTCCAATTCTTGAAATTAATTCTTAAAGGCAAATTCGAAGATAGATAATTTTTTTTCAGAAAAACTGTAACATCCGAACATTCATTTGAATCAGTTTTAGTTTCGACTTAAGCATCTTCATGTCCCGTTACACAGAAAAACAACTGCATTGAATTTTAACAATGATGAGTGAAGTTGCTTTAGAATTTTTGGTATTATTACATTTTTTCCTAGTTTTCCATCGAATTGTCTTCAAAAGTTCATACTCCAAATTAAACAGTCTGGTGCTAAGAAAGCCTGAACATCATTCAACCGCTTGCCACAATTGTAAGAAACCCCTGAATTAAAATGTGCGGTCAGTGATCTCTGGGGAATAAATCCGAAAATATTGCGTCCCATTTCATTTTTAAGTAGTACTCCCTAGGGCGAGACAAAGCAAAAGTGCCGGGAAAGCCCAGGGACTATTTTCCTTTTATGCACAGAGCAAAGCAGATTTTTGCATGACGACGAAATGAATGCCGCCCGTTTCAAAAACCGAGGGGGCGAACAATGAAAAAGCTTTTCGGATAAGTAATGCGGAACGTCGCAGGTTAAAATACTCACCATTCAAAGTTTATGGAGCTTTAATTAATAATCGGAATAATTACTGGAAGCGGAAGATAAAATCTGAAGGTGTACGAGTGGGTTTGGTGGAAACAGTTGTTCACAAAGTCTTTGGCTCGATGCCTACTAAATATTACGTGCTATGAATGTCTTATTTCACCTGCCACTGTTGATACAACTGCTTTATGATCGACGACAATAAAGCCCTTTAGAGCTGTATCAAGCTCATTTTATTTCTGTGAGGAAAAACCTTCATTTAATAAGTTATTCATATTCTAAAGCCCCTAATATGTTTAGCTTCTCTCGACTTCTGAACGACCCCACGTCGAGTTCTCCTTCGCTTTTATATGTAAATGGCATTTTCCAATTTTCCCATAAAACCGTTTTCTTAAAAATGCGATGATTTATTTATTGCCTCGTGACTCGAACAAGACAGCATATTTCACCAGTAAGCAAGCGAGCGTCTTTTATCAAATGCAACTGTTGATATTGAGATTTTGCCCCCAGTTTGCACGGATTGATGAAAACTAGGAAATTAATTTTACTTACCAGCAACATTCACATTGGCGGCACTGCTAATAACCACTTGCCTGCTCAGTCTGTGCATAGTTCGGCAACGATATGTAGGAAACTGATCACCAAAGTCCAAATTGTGGATGAGGAGTTCACCTGAAGGCAGTTGATGAAACTTTCCATCTGAAAATGAATCACTTTTTTGAGAATTAACTCTACATGGACTGTAGGAGATGATAATAATACACCTGTAATTAAAGTAGAATCCGCAAAAAAGCAGGCGGAACTTAAATTAATCCTTTGTGCGGTATTTGATGAACTGAAAAAAATCTTAAAGCTGTTGCAGAGAATGATAAAGAAGTAGAAGAACCAATGGATGAAACGTTGATTATGCAAAGTACTTGAAAAGTACAGTTTAAAATTTTTTTCGCCAATTTTTAAATCGCCAACAGAACTTTGTGCCCCCGAGCAGTTTGTTGACCTGAATAAAAATTTTACTTGTCTTGGAATAGGAATTAATGAAACATAGAG